GCACTGCTGGGGACTTTCACATACCTCTCCACTGGTGGGAAGTGGGTAGGGGAGGAGTGGAAGCTGAGTGGCAGCAGGAGCTGCTGAGTGGCAGCTGTGCACCTTCCCTGCCCCACACCTGCCTGGGAGACCATTTGCACCCCTGTTGCGCACACTGGCTGGAGAACACACTGCTGCATCAGCTGGGGCAGTTTTGAAATACTCCAGCTCGGGCTGCACCTGTCTGGAGTCTGAAACAATAGGCTTGTTAAATGTTTTCAAGCCCATTTAATTTGGAAACATTTCAGATGTTATGTATGTTTCCACTCTAACCATTCTGGCTCTTACTTAATAGTCTGTGAAGCTGAACGTGCTCTACTTGTATGTCTCGCTTAAGGGACTGTGTGCTATCTTCCAAAGATATGGTTTTGCTTTTTTCCTTCGTAGGCAAAAAAGAGCAAGTGAAGATACAACCTCAAGTTCACCCCCGAAGAAAGCTGCAGCAGGACCAAAAAGGGATGCAAGACAAATATACAACCCTCCCAGTGGGAAATACAGTAGCAACCTGGGTAGCTTTTCTTATGGTGAGTTTTACAGAAGAGTTTTGTACAATGAATTATTTACCTATGGGAAAGAAAGAATTGAGGAAAATTCTCACAAGATCACCTCTAGATTCAGAATTAGGCTATCATGACCGTTTCATGTAATTGTATTTTTATTTCTAATTGCTAGTAGAGTAGTAAGTTTTGGGTAAGTGTATAAACTTATCCACTGTGAAGTTTATGCTGTAAATTTTAGTAGTGATCAATAGCTTGCAGTTGCTTAGAATTAGTGACTAAATTATTTAAAAGCCAAGATATAACATTTATGTCATGGTGACAATGACGGAACTTTTTCAAGAGTAAAAATTTTGTCATTATCAACTCCCCATGGTTGGTATGTTTAACACAGGTTTTGCACAACACAGTGTACCTTTAGGGTTCAAGATTTGGCATTTAATTTAGTATGTCTTTCTGTTAGTGGAGCAGCCTGTCTTTTCATTTATGTTTAATTCCTTGCTCAAAACTATCTGGTTTTAAATAACTAGAGTACACTTAAAATCAAGAGGCAAGGACAGAAATATAATGACTGTTAAGTCTTTAAACTACAGAGGGAAGAAACAGTAGCAGGAAAATAATGCACTTTTATGTTTTAACAAGACAATTGTTGAGATCAAACTTTGGATTCGTAATGATCGCCTGAGGAACACTTTGGTTCTTCCACTGAGATCAGACTTGTTCTTAATGCAGGTGTTCATTTATACCATCTCTCTCTTTAGCTGAGTTTTAGTAGTATTGGTTCTTTAAACATTAAGACCCCAATCCAGCAAGACACTTAAGCATGTACTTATTTAACTTATTAGCCCCGTTGAAGTCAACAGGACTTCCCACATGCTTAATTCTAGGCACAAGAAACAGTCTTGTTGACTTCAGTGAGGCTCATAACATAGATTCATAGATGTAGGGTCGGAAGGTTCTTACTGCCCAAGTGCAGTACCCTGCACTTTTCGGTATTGAATCCCATCCTGTTCTCATTCACTTACCCCTGTAACCTGTCCAGGTCCAGCTGCGTCCTGTCCCACCCTTCTAGCATGCCCACCTCACACCAAGGCAGATAAAGTACATGCTTAAGTGTCTTGCTGGTTTGGGATCCTAATGTTTAAAGAACCAAAACTACTAAAACTTAGCTGAAGAGAGAGACGGCATAAATGAACAGTTTAATTTAAGAACAAGTCTCATCTCAGCAGAAGAACCAAAGTGTAAGTGTGTGTGATTGGATGTGTTGTTCATGGAGGGTTAGTGCAGATAATTGTACCTAAAAGAACAGTAACAGGTATGATTTGGTATGTAATTTCATTTTTAAACGGTGTTAAAGCAAGAGACACTTGGAGACCTCTATGGAATAAATGCATTTGCTTTTATTTTCAGAGCAAAGAGGTGGTTTCCGAGGTGGCCGAGGGAGAGGCTGGGGAGGACGAGGCAATCGCAGTAGAGGAAGAATCTACTGAACAGACCATTATATTCTCCAGGGCTACTACAGGTGAAAGCACCTGTCAAAAGTGAACGTACCATTCATCAAAGGATTGCCTGGGTTATTGTATCCCTTCAAGGACTGCCTTCCACTAAAGACTGACTTAAATGTTCTTTATACCTTTGTATGTATGATCTACTTTTCTAACGGACTACAATTCGTCCATAGTGAAACAGCAACTGTATTTTTGGATGCTTACAGTCAGCGACTTTGAGTTCTTATTTTTGAAGTGTCTTCAGGGTTCATTCAGAAATGGAAAACAGCGTAGATGTTTTATCTGAAGCTACATCTTGATGGTTTGTATATTAACCTAAAAATCAGCTATTGCATAATTAAACTATATAATTGAGTTTGTGTATAAAATAACGGACAGGAAAGGCTTGATTACAAAGATGTGTCAGTTCATACTGACAGCTGAAATAATCCTTTCCTCATCTATAACCATACTTTGCAATATGTGGAGAAGAGTACCATTGTGAAATTAGCATTTACTTACTTTTCATAAAAATCGTTGACTGAAATAAATGCTGGTTTTATAACGTCTGCAACATGGATGCAAAACTTTTGCCTGTAGCATGAAGCAATCCTTTTATTTTTAAGATGTGGAGAATGTGGTGTTTTTGTTTTTGCACATCTTACTCTTCTCCGTGCATTGTAACACAAAGGTGACGTTTTGAAAATGGGTTTTTAATGTTTAATATAAATGTGTGCATATACTTATGCCATGAAATTTCAATAAACCAACAAGAAAAAACAAAAACAATAAATGAGTAGAAATATTCCCAGAACGGGGCAAGCCTGATGTAATGATTAAGCTTCATAGTGTGAAGCTGGACGGAGGAGATAGCTGGCCTTTCCTGCGCATTGAACATTTCTGGGTTGGCTGGCACTTGCCAATTTTTTTTTGTTTTAATCAATACAACTGCATTTTAAAAATATATAAATAAAATTGTATTTTGGGTAACAGAAAAATTACAGTTATGTAGTTTGATTCAGGTGAAGAATTAAAGATTCCATGCAATTTAGTTTTTAATAATAGCTTGTAATTCTTATTTAAATGCAGACACCCAGTAAATACCACTTAAAAGAACAGTGGAGGGGGGTGGTGTTTGTTTAGGTTTTTTTTACCACTTAAGAATTTTTTGCTTTTTTCTCAGGTCATTCTTGAAAGATTCACCATTGAAAGGGTTTAGGTGATCGTAAAAAGAAGGAAAGTTGGAAGGGAAAATAATTTTAAGTGTTCAGAGATATGTTGACATAAAATAGCTTAGGCTTTAGAAGTCTGAAGGATTTCCCTTTAATTTTTTTTCAGTCATTTTTATGTCCATACCCCAACAAACCAAATGCCTGAAAGTGATGTTTTCAATTTAGTTTCGCGTGTATTTGTGAGTCATAGGATATGAATCTGATACAGGTGTCTTCATTAGCATGCTGATATTTATCGCTGCAATCTGAGGATATGGCATGGGCATTTCTGGAACCTAGTGCAAGATCTGGAAGAAAACAATTATTTAGAGAGGCCTGCATAGAAAAACTATTGAGGTTAAAGAAGCAGTAAACTGAAATTTCTTAACTTTGGATCTGTGATTGTAAACTTTGGACATTCCAAAAGCATTTGTGCTGAACTTGCATTTCCAGTTTCAAGAGAGCTGCTAAATTTAGATTGTCACTAAGATACTAACGATATGAACAATAACTTTCACATATGGAAAAAAAAATATCAGTTTGGTAACAGGTGCTGGATAGGTGGTACAAATGTTGCAGGTGAAAATTTGGCCTATTGCATATGTGGTAATTAGTTGACTTTTTTTTTTTTTTTAACCAACGATTTTCATAGCCTACTTGCAAGCACAGTTTAAGACTAATCATTGGATACAAGCAGCTTCCTTCTCACTGAAGTTGAGTGAGTTGACTTTATGGGACTCTACTAGAGATGATGTTACACAAAGTTCTTGCTGCCTCAGAAATAGCTAGCTTCCCCTTCCTTTTATTCTTAACGTCTGAGGCTGTGAATTCTTCTGGAGACACCTGTTGACCACCTTGTTCAACTGTAAATGTTCCCTTAATGCTTTTGAAATAAAATTCATTTTGTAATTTTGTTTGAGTGGCTTGTTGTTTCATGATTACAGGGCTTTCTAACAATTTCATACTTAAAAGACCTTTTTGTGATGACTCATTGAAGGGATGTTCTCTCCTACAGTTTTATTTCATTTTAATGGAAGCTCAGATTATTTCAAATGGATAGGTATGCTTTAATCTACAACTGAAAAGCTAACAAAGGTTTGGACAGAACATGAAAGGTAAATGTCCAGTAGAAGCTGTGAGAGAGTTCCAGGAGTTTGAATGCAATTTATTCAGGAACAGGAAGACCTGTTGCTTGGAAAAGTACGTTGTAATAGGGATTCTTCAAAACTCTAGATCACGATTCTAGACACTATCATAACTGGCAATGACTGAGCAGTGATTTAGCATCCAAGAACTGGTGAAAGATTTGTGAGAATGAGTCTGCCACTTCAGTGCACTATGGTGACATTCATACGCTTAGCCTGGAAAACCCTGTTGGTCATCGCAACTTTCAGAAAACACATCTGCCACTTTACCAAATCTAAACATCTTTTAAGTTTAGTTTGCCATGTGACTTACAGGCTTGATCATTCAATTGTCGGCATATGGCTATTATGTTAATTATCTTAAAATAACTTTCACTTAGTAGGAAGACAGACTGTTGTATTCTAAACTATCACAGAGATGCTACAACCCTTTAGTCTTTTACTTGTTCTTAAATGCATATGGACTCAATGCAAGATTTTAGTATCAAGCCAGGAAAAATCCATTTGTCAAAAAGCCTAGATCAAGCAGATATAGTTTAAAAGGAAGAGAAACAGTTGTCTCCATGCATGACTCACTATGGCTGTCCCCTCCCTTAAGCACCTTTATACAGCAGCATCCAATGGATAGGGGTTGAGAAGGCAGGTTCAGTGTTCTGCCCCAGCCAGCTGTCCAGCACATATAAAGCTCATATCAATGCCAGACTGAGCAGCTTAGAAGAAAGGTCAAACAGCAACAATAATCATTGTCATGTTGTTGTAACGACTTAATTGTTGTTATAATCTTACTGTCATTTCATTAATAATATTCTATTACTAATACTTTTAGTATGATCTCTGGGTGCAGAGCTGTACTGCTACCCTGTGCATTCACAGATGGTGGATAGTGGAATGGCCTTCAGGGAAGGTTAGCTGTAATAAGCAGAGGTAACTGATGAAAAAGTTGTCACAGACCAAGCAGTGGCAGCACCACCAGGATGGGGTGAGGACAGCAGATGACAATGCTTTTCCTCCTGAAAAACCACATGTATCTTTTGATGGGGCTGACACAGTGAGTACAGATCGCCGCTTTAATAAGCCTGCCTGGCCCCCATCTTTGGGTCTACAAGTCCTCAACGGTGGAGGAAGGTGTTTGAATCTCAATGGCTATGCAGGCAGATGAAGGCTGCAGCACAGCGGAATCTCCAGTTGCCTTGGTCTCCTTGCCATGGGATCACAGTCCTGTCTGTCAAGAGCTGTGGGGGGCTCGTGTGCTGCAGCTTCTCCACAATAAAACAAGTCAGGCACAGGCCCCTTCCCCTGTGGTAGAGTGCAGGCAGTCCTCAGACTTAAGACACAATTGGTTCCTGAAAACCCTGTTTAAATCGAAACATTGTAACTCGGAGACAATTTTCTTATGAGAAACAATGTTATAAATGGGGGATAGGTTCCTGAACCAAGGCCCCATACCCTATTTTTACCAAAAATACACCAGAATTTTATATTTGATCAAGTATAGATGAGTAATATAGCTACATTAATGTATTTACATTGTAAATAACGATCATACTGATTTAGGTGGACTTCTCTGAGGTGACTGCTGGACTTTTTGAAAGGCTCTTGGTTGAACTTTTTGAAGGGTTCTTGGCTGGAGTCTTCGCTGCAGTTTCTTCTGGAGTCTTGTCTGCTTTCTCAGAGAAAGCATCCAAGGAAGTTTGGACAGATGTCCTCCAGGGACATGAAGCAATAGAGAGAACTTGTTCACGGGCATGGTGCCGCATCAGATCAAGCATTGTAAAGTCGAAACTGACATCAGAAAGTTGAAACGGTGTTAATTTATAAACATTGTAAGTGCAAAATATTGTAAGTTGAGGACTGCCTGTACGTCTATGCCAAACAGGCTTCCTCAACCATCTTCACACACACAGAGAAGAGCATAGGGAAAAGATAATCATCCTCGACCACGAGGGACTGCCAGAGATTACGATGTGGTTTTATTATTACTTTATCTTCTTTTTACTGCATTGTCACTATTATTATCATTATTACTATGATAACCATTATGTTTATTGTTACTATTACTGTCATTTTTATTATTACTATTATACTCAACCTCTTCATTATTATTATCCTTATTTTATTAGCATTTTTATTACTATTATTAGAAATTATTTGTCCTTGCTCCTATTACGTTATGACTTGATTATTACGTGCCATTAGTATTAATAATGAATGAATAGCAGCAATACTTGTAACACCTGAGCCAGGAGCACCGCGGCCACACCTCCACGCCGTGACGTAAGCTACTGGCCGGAAGCCCCTCCCCGTGGGCCCGCCCCTTCTGCTCTGGGGCTACCTCGCTCTTTCTCTCTCTCTCGCCCCCTCGCCCCCCCGCCCAAAATGGCGGCCGCCGAGCTTCCGGTTCCGGGTGGCGCGGGAGGGCTGGGGTCGGCGAAGATGGCGGCTGTTGGAGCGGCCGGGCGGGGCGGCCCGGGGTTGGTGGTCACCCCACTGAGCCGGGTGCTGGGTCTGTCCCTGCTGCTGGGCCTGGGGACGCCGCCGGGCGCTGCCACCACCCACTGGGTGGTCACCGAGGACGGCAAGATCCAGCAGCAGGTGAGGGGCGGCTGGTGCCCGCCGGGACCACCCCCCGCCGGGCTGCGGGTGCAGGCGGCGTCCCGGCCCCGCCGGGCTCGGCCTCGGCTTCGCTCGTGTTGCCGCTCAGCCCCTGCCCTCGTGTTACTGCTCCACCGCGGTCCTCGGGCTGGGAGCCTTTTGGGCAACCGTCTGGGCCACACGGGAGCAAAGTCCCCGGGGTGGCGGTGCGAGGCTTCCCTCCACCCTTGGGAAATGCCCTTTCTGGGTCTCTGTATGAGTCATGAGAGCTGTGTGTCTGGCGGGGATCCCCACTGGCACAGACCACAGCAAGGGCAGGATGCTCTTCACACAGTGGGCTGTTCCCGTTTGACACCTTTGGGCTTGTCTGGTGGGTCCTGAACGACAGCACATCTCCAGGTGCCGTAGCCCCCGGTTGAGAATCACTGCTTGAGGGAATGCTGAGAAATGACATACTGTCTCTGTCAAAGCACCTAACCCGCTCTCGGAGGGGAGGTGTGTTTCCCTGCTCGCCTAAATGGGTTTCTTCCACCGTTCCTCTCTCCACTGCAACCCCCGGCATTCAAAGTCAAGCTTCCTTGCTCATGAGACAAGCAGGGAAGCTTGACGTTAAATGCTGGAGGTTGTAGAGGAGAGAAGAGCAGTGGAAAAAACCCTGGTTGTGCCCAGGCCACTCTCACATTTAGCATCTGCTCTCTGCCATGATGTGATGCAGGGTACTGGGAAAGACCGGCTTCTGGTCTGACCCAGGAAATGGCAGGTCTTATGGTTTAGGTTCTTATGTTAATTCCAGCCTGTGGTTGTATTTTGAGCCATGAGTTCCTAGATGTCACTTGTTAAAGGGTGTTTGATTTTATAGACTATGCTGGAAGAAAAGGGGAAGCCAAGTTCAGTGAGTGTTAATGCTGAAGTAGCTTGGTTCTCATACAGCAAGTGCCCTCTCACACAGAGCAGTGTAAGTTGTAGCCATGTTGGTCTAAGGGTGTAGGCAGGCAGGGTTCTTTGGGTAAATCTGATCTCTTTTGCTGGACTAAATAGTTGGGGGGAAAAAAGAAAAAATGCCAACTATTTAGTTGGTGTAATAAAAGATATCAGACTTACCCAAAGAACCTTATCTACCTGTATCATGAAGGGGAATTTGTGAGTACAGCATTAACTGTGATTAGTATTAGCAGTTACTAATCTGAAAGGGCATGAAAAATGACTGCAGTGCCTGATGCTTTAATTGTCAAAGCTTTTTGATGTAGTAGCCGTAATCTGAAGTGCAGATGGGTTTGAAGTTCCTTTCCTTTTCTTTTCCTATTCTTCCCTTTTCCTTTGGGTTGTGGGAAGCAATGTATGGTAGTAATGCAGTGAGCTGTTGTAGCAAGTATCCGTTCTCCTCTGTAGTACTTATATCTGCTTAGTCACAACTGGTTGTTTTGGTAAGGAGCTGTTTCACAGTTCACTCAATTACAGAAGAGAAGCAGCTATTGTATATTTCACAAGTTTTAAAAAATTGTTTTAAAATCTGCTCCCTTGGTGTGGTAGAGAGAGAAACAGCATCTCTTCTTACATTAAATATGTTTTTTTATTCAAAAGGCAAAAAATAATTGAAACAATTAACTAGCTAGATTCAGATTTGACAACTTGACTTTTGGGATTTGTCTCCACTGCCTAACAGACCTCATTAAGTATGTGTAAGATGCTTCTGTTGTACTGTAGCTGTGATGATTTATGCATTATAAATTTCACTTTCTTTTCTAAATTTTTGTGTGGCATTTCTGTACCCTACCAAACAGCTACTAGGTTGCATCCTGGAAGCAGCTAAAATGAGAGGGTGTCTGCAGAATATAAAGAGCTTTAAGATAAAAGTGTTTTGTGAATTGTAATGGTACATTTACAATAATGAATCAGGTAATTTAATACAAATGACATCCATCCATTTCTAACCTCATATTGTGTAGACACTGAGGTAGTAAGGAACCTGGAGAGGTGGCTTCCTTTTTGGTACTTTGTAACTTTGATCCCCACCCCCCTGTTTATTAAGTGATCCAACTGTTCAATTCATCTTTAGAAATAAAATGTATGTTCTTGAAAACCAGGATTCCCTCCCTTCTCTCCCTCCCCTCAATTGCTTTACCCCTACTTTTTTTTAGAAGTAAAGGTTTCTGTCCAGTGAGATGCTAAATTTTTCC